GCGGGGGGGGGGGGACAGTGACATCTTGAATTTTGCATGCAAATGAATGGAAATAGAAAACACTATCCTGAGTGAGATAACCCAGACCAAAAAGATAAATATGGTATGTACTCACTCATTAGTGGACTTTAGCCATAAGCAAAGGACATTAAGCCTATAGTTCACAAGCCTAGAGAAGCCATATAACAAGGTGAACCCAAAGAAAAACATATATGATGGAGGAGGGTTATCTGTCTATTGTGTTATTTTCATTGGTCAATAAAGAGACTGCCTGGCCCATTATCTCTAGAGAGTTAGTTACTGGCTAACTCTCACATCTTGATTAACCCATTTCTAATAATCTGTATAGCACCACGAGCTGGTGGCTTACCGGGAAAGATTCAGCATGTCTGACCTGGTGGCTGGCTCCATGGCGTCTGCCTCATAGCCCTCTTCCCAGCATTCTGTTCTGTTTACTCTGCCTACCTAATTTTCTGTCCTATCAAAGGGCCAAGGCAGTCTCTTTATTGACCAATGAAAATAACACAATAGACAGATAACCCTCCTCCATCACATATATAGATCCTCCTGGAAATGGGAAGCAAACAAGATCGCCAGGCAAAAGTTGAGAGCATGGGGGTGGGAGTAGGGGTAAGGGTGGGGCTGGGGGAGGGGGAGAGGGCAAGGGGGAGAGAGAAGGGAGAAGGGACAGACTGGCGAGAGCCTGGGGGAGTGGGAGGGTGGAGATGGAGGAAGGGCAGACATAGGAGCAGGGAAGAAGATATCTACATTAAGGGAGCCATTTTAGGGTTAGCAAGAGACTTGGCTCTAGAGGGGTTCCCAGGTGTCCACGGGGATGTCCCCAGCTAGGTCCTTGGGCAGCAGAGGAGAGGGTGCCTGAACTGTCCTTGCCCCACTATCACACTGATGATTATCTCGAATATCACTATAGAATCTTCGCTGGCGACGGATGGAGATAGAGACAAAGACCCTCATCAGATCAACGGACTGAGCTCCCAAGGTCCAGTTGAAGAGCAGAAGGAGGGAGAAGATGAGCAAGGAAGTCAGGACCACAATGGGTTGGTCCACCCACTGAGACAGTGTGCCTGATCTAATGGAAGCTCACCAAATCCAGCTGGACCGGACTGAATGAGTATGTGATCAAACCGGACTCTTCGGTGAAGTTTTGACTTCTTCCAGGTAAATAGGGATAGCCAAGGGGTCTTCTTCAGTTTGGCAGAGTAAGGAGGCTGAACCCAACATGCCAAGTGGGAAGAAGAGTGAGGGAGAGAGGTCGCACAAGGAAAAGAGAAGACACAGGAGACCTGAGAATGCTGAAGGTTCTTCTTACACAGAGGTAGAGATGCCCTGCCCCTGACTCTGGTGACTAGGGCGGGGTGGCTGCAGTTCCTGCCACAGAGGGGGTGTGTGCACACAAAAAATGAGACCTGCTGTGGGTGGGGGACCCGGTGCAGTTCCAGGCACAGAAGTGGGGCTCTCATAGAGTGTGGTGGAGACAGGAGTGACCAGGTCTGCCTGGGGACCAGGGTAGTTTCCCTGGAAACGAGACCACAGAAGTGCTCAGGAAACCATTCAAATGTGTCCCCTCGGGTGGCCACCACAGGCACTGGCTGGCCTGGAACTCACTGTCTCACTGTGTAGGTCAGGCTGGCCTCCAACTCCCAGAGATCCACTTTCTGCCTCCCAAGGGACAGGATTAGAGAAATATATGTCACCGTGCCGAACAACGTGACAAAACTTTCAAACACACCTTGCCTTTCACTGTGATTTTTGAATCTGTGATTATGGCAGACCATGAGTTACATATATTTTAAAGAAGTATAAACAAAACCAGCTGTTTCCATCTCATGTGCACAGCGACACCTCTTGATATAATACAGTACCCCTACGGAGTGCAGACAGTGCTGATCCGGTCATACAGTGTGTTTTGGTTCTCTGTAGGCATGATTACAATAAGGTCTAATTTATGAACGGGGCATGCTGAGAGTGAGCAGCAACCCCTAGCTATAAGATAGGACAATTACATCAAAAGCATCACCAAACCTATGTTCAGGAGCACTGTTAATGATTGACAGCTGCTTGAACCCAGAAGGAACTCCCCCAGCTGAAGGAGACAGCTGTGAGTCATTAACATAGCCAAACCCTCCGAGTCCTTGGAGGCGGGGCTGAGGGTCCCTGTAGACCTGCGGCAATGCTGTTTTCTTCAAGATACACGCGAGAAGGGGGAAAGCTCTGTGCCCACGTCACACTTCAAAGGGAACCAGTGTAGCCTGGTGTCGAAAGTAGTAGGGTCAAATACATGCCAATGTATCGCCCAGCTTGTGTGTTTTTCACTCCTAGCTCCTGAGCGACGCAACGATAGAGCCAACGCTATGTACGGGGGAGGGGGGGCCTCACCGCTGCGGCCCCCTTGAATTACGGACTGCATAGCATTAGTCTTCTGAACTGTGCCGGAGACACCAAAAACAACGGCTTTTCCATTTGGATTTTAACAAACTAGTTTTAAGAAAGCTGGGATTCTGAGGTCGGAAGTTCTAGGGTTTTATCCCCTTTTCCTTGGCTATATGGAAAAAACAAACAAACAAAAACCGGGAAACAAGAACAAAAGCCCACCATGTTTCAGAGGAAGATTTCTGCCCTCTGAACAGCATGTGGCCATCAGGACTAGCCTCCTCAGCCCTACCCCAGAGCCTTGTTCCTCTGCCTGTGTTCTGTCTCATCACTGACGTCCACCATCTCCCCAGCTATGAAGTGGTCAATTTGGGGGCCAATAAAACTCTAGTTTATCTAACTGATCCATAGCCAAGAAAAATTATATGTGCAGGTGTGAAGGGGCAACACTAGCATTTCTGCCTCCGACATGACAGTCTTCTAGAAGAAGGTTGCTCTGTGGACCCCAGGGTTAGGGAGTCCATTTCAGTGCCTATTTCAGTGAGTAATTTATCACAAGATTAAAAACAGATCGTGACGTTTTGAAATGATGAAAATGCCCCTGCCACACAGTCCTCCTGAACCAATTGTTGCATTATATTGGGCCGAGCCACACAAAACTGCCAATATTCAACAGCTTTTGACTTGCAAATATTTTTCCTCAAAATTTGCAGTGGTTCAATGGGATTGGGCTGTCTGTGATTCATTCATACAACAAAGACGAAGTGACTCTTTCCCCTGTGGTGCCTCAGGATGCGCCAGCCAGATGCTGAGAGCGCAGCCAACAGCAAGAGGGGCAGAGCCTCCCGCTTCTGGGAAACTTGTTGTAGTGAGAGGAGACAGGCAATAGATCAGATAACTGAGCATGATGTATTAGCCAGTGGGGAGGGTTGCAGGGAAAAAGACATGCTGTATGAGAAAGGAGATTTGTCAGGTCAGTGGGAGAGGGAGCCAGATGGCCTTTCTAAGCAGCTGGATGGTGAGGTCTTCATTGGTGTGATAGCCTCTGAGCAAAGACCTGAACAAAGTCTGAGACGGGTACACACACACAGACAAACCTTCCAGCAAAGCCAAGGGCAAGCAAAGGAGTGGGCATTCGGAAGAGGTGGGCACGGAAGAGCTAGTGTAGTCCAGGGGCAATAGGGAAGCCAGAGAAATGGGAAGACCTGCTATTAGCCATCTTCCACCCTGGTGGGTCTACCACCTCCTTCTGTGAGCTCGGTTGGGCAATATCTTAGGGTTCCTGTTGCTACGAAGAGACATTATGACCATGGCAACTCTCATAAAGGAAAACATTTCATTGGGGCTGTTTTACAGTTCAGAGGTGTAGTCCATTATCATCATAGTGGGAAGCATGGCAGCACACAGGTAGCCATGGTGCTGGAGAGGTAGCTAAGAGTTCTACATCTGGATCAGCAGGCAACAGGAAGAGGGAATGACATTTGGCCTGACTTGAGCATCTGAAATCTCAAAGCCAAGCCCAGTGACACACTTTCTCCAACAAAGAAACACCTACTCCAACAAGGCCACACCTCCGAATAATGTCATGTCCTATGGGCCTATGGGGCCCTTTCATCCAAACCATGACAGGCAATATCCATTCCACATTGGCACACATTAGTCCAACAAACAGTACCAGTCCTTAAACAGGCTGGGGCCAGAGAGCAGAGAGCCAGCATGGAGCTGTGGACTCCAGCCTCTCCTATACGAAATCGATCCTGCGTTCCACAGATGGGCAAGGGATTAGAAAGGTATTTGGAATCACAAAAGCCTAAGGAAGCTTTGGATGCATCAGCTATCATAGCAAACCCAACCACAGGCTACAGAGACCGGTAGAATCCCTGCTGAGACCAAGGCAATATGATGACTGGAAGTCCCACGAGAAACCCGATTGACAGAGATGTACTGCTTGCTAGTGAAGTGGTTGGTGATCAATTCCATAGGGGATCTTCTACTTACTCTTCATTCCTTCTGGGACATCAACAGTGCATGTAAACAAGCATTGAAATTGCCCCCCTCAAGAAGCAAAACACAACTACCACAGCCTTTCACTAGAGAAGAGAGAGAAGAAGTCCCTCTGGGGAAGCCCAGGCTTGAAAAGTAAGGAGTCTCTTCTGCTAGCCTGGGCCCTGCACTGAGTTACGCTTGCCCTTGTGTACGCTTGCACAGAGCTTTGCAGAGTTGTGCTTGAGCACCTCTGAGCCCATGGGTGATCTGGAAATGTCGGGAGTTCAGAAACATGAGCTAAGATGAGAAATGAGAGACCCGGAGTCTGAGATCAGACTTCTAGGGCTCAGGTCCTTTTCCCAAGCTCAGCTTAGGTACTGCATGACAGAGGGATGCTGACGAACCTTTCAAAGCTTTACTCTTTCCTTGTGCAACTGTGAGTTGGTCGCTCTTAAAACTGTGATTCTCAACCTGTGGGTCACAAGCCCCTTGGGGATCAACCAACCTTTTCACAGGGATCACCTAAGACCACCCCAAAACACAGATATTTACATTACAGTTTGTAACAGTAGCAAAATTGCAGTTATGAAGGAGCAATGAAAGCAATTTTATGGTTGGGGGGGTCACCACGACACGAGAAACTATATTAAATAGTCGTGGCATTAGGGAGGTTGATGACCATTGGCTTAGAGCTCCATAGGCCAAGTGAGAGATTCCGCGAAAAGTACTAACTAGAGTAGTGGTGTATCAGCAGGTCTAAGTGTAGGCAAGAAAACAACGCTCACTGGTAAAATTATGAATCACAAAGATCCTTTCGAGCTCCATTGTATGTGACTTCCTCTCTAGCAAACTACAGTATGCCATCTCCACCCCAACAGTCTGCCCTTCCTTTTTCCCACCAAAACCACCCTGAACCAGATGCAGAAGGCCATGTTTAAGAAAGAGGAAGGGCGCTGGCTGTTCACAAAGCACTCAGTACTGAGATGCTCAGGAGGTGGCTACTTCTAGACCACAAACCACAGGTGTGGTTTCTGGCTCCCCTCCTTGCCTGCCCAGTAGCCTAGCCCATGACAGACAATCACACAGCCAACTTGATTTAGTTGGGCATATTGGGTGAGAGGACGTGGGAAGTCAGGAGGGCAACAATCAAATCCTGCCAGAGAAGGGAATGAGACCTGAGCTTCCAAAGTGCAAGTTTTACACTCAGGCCCCACAGTGAGGAAATCCAGTGCAATGTTTGGAGAGCTGCAGTTCTGTTGCAAGTCATCACGTGGGTTCTGGGAACAGCACCCTAGCCCTCTGAAGGACAGCAGGTGCTCCCCAACCCCCAAAACTATGTTGCTAGGACAAATCTGGACTGTTCAGCACCAACTTGACAGTCCTGCGGTCATGAGACTCACAGCCGAGCTCAGCCAGAACAGGAAGTGACAGCAGTTGATTCCAGAGTTGATATAAACTCTGAGGTTCAAGTTAAGTAACCACACACAGGACAGACCTGCTGGGGGAGGAGGGCAAAAAGGAGCAGGGAATTTCACATGCTGGGAGGGACAATGCCTTGGCGTCAGAGACACTCAACTGCCTTCCCCTCTTCCAGACACTGGTCCTCCTGCGGGGGACAGAGGAGCAATGTGTTTATAGGGCAGGTCAGAAATCTGTATTTGGTTGGAAAATTTTAGGGACCCCAAAAATAATCAGTATGATCTCTGAAATATACAATATGCAATAAGATAAGAAAGGAAAGAAATTAATTTGTGATTATTAGTTCTGATAGTAAAAAGAGCAAATGGTTTTTGGTGATTTTGATAAAAGAATCCCACTGCAGTTTATCCATTGTGCAACAGACTTTGTTTATGAAATCCAAAGTAGCCATAAAATTGAAACATGTGTTCATTTTCATTTGAAGCAATTACTTCCCCTGTGGACTCTGAGTTCCGTTCGATAAAATTGCTCCCAAGAAGTTCTGGGAGCGGGTCTGGAGAGCTGTGCTCCAGAAGCGGGTCGCAATGAGGCTGCTAATTCATTGGATCTGAAGAGGCTGCAAGGATAAGTTGTTTGAGAAAGTGCTTGCCACACAGGCATGAGCACCTGAGTCCAATCCCCAGAACCATGTTCAGGAGAAGCAGTGTTCACTTACAGACCCAGTGCTGGGGAGGCAGAGACAGGTAGAGCTCCACGGTTCTGTGACCAGCCTACCCTGCCTGGAGAGCTGCGGGCTAGTGAAAGACATGGTCTCAAAAACCAAAATGAACAGCTTCTACAGAACAACTTCATGGCTGTCCTCTCAGTTTTTATGCAGTCCAGGTTCCCAGTCCAGGAAAGACTATCATCCACAAAGGTGGGGTTTCTCATCTTAACTAACCTAATCAAGATAATCTTCCACAGGGGATTTTAGGCGTTTACGAGGAACCAGGAAAAGACTCACCACACACACACACACACACACACACACACACACTGAGGATGATGAAGATTTCACAGTGTGGTGGGGGCCTTGCAGAAATGAGTAAGCCTAGGACCCTGTGATGGCAATCCCCCGGATTGTCTGGGCCTTGACTGTAACTGTAAGGGTCCTCATAAGGGAAACAGGATATCTGACTGTGGAATTGGGGGACGTGAGACAGAACAGAGGTCCAGGGGATGCCAAAAAGGAGCAACAGGGCAAGGAGTGTGGTGGACTCCAGCAGCTGACAACACCAAGGGAGCACTCTCCGGAGGGAATCAGCCCCAGAGATGTTCCACTATAACCCAGTGAGGGCAATTTTGAACACCTAGCTTCCACACCTACCGGAGAATAAAGCTGTGGTCTGAGACACTCAGTTTCTGTGGTTTTTGTTATAGCGGCAGGAAGAAGCTCATACAACATTATAAAACTGACTTGCTTCAAGGGTCCTACGGCAATTTCCAACACAACTCTTTTCAATTGTTTTTAGAACAATGCTATCCTCTATTTATGATATATTTTCTTTGGGCTAAATTCAAAAGCTGGTGGGTCTATCGAGAAGGAAGACAGAGTGGGTGAGAAGTGATGTTCTAAGGTGAGTTATGGGGGTTTGGATGAGAAATATCCTCCAAAGGCTTGCTGAGTTCCCAACTCTTGGCAATGTTTGCTGTGGATATGGAATTTTTAGGACACGCTGTTTTGCTGGAGGAAGTATGTCACGGGGCGGAGGTTGAGAATGTATAGTTTTACCCCACCCACCTTCTTCTAGCGTGTTCTCTCTGTTTCCTGTGTACAGACAGAATGTAACTAGTTCCCACCCCTGCCTGTTTTATGCCTCTCCTGCCACTGTGGACGCTAACCCTCAGGAACCATGAGCCAAAAATAAACCTTCCTTAAGTCGTTTTTGGTCATGGCAATCTATCACAGCATCAGAAACTGATACCCAGACCCTGCACCAATGCCTCTCCATGCTTCTGA